TCATGTAAAGAATTATTTCGTTGGAGGAAGATATTAATAATAAGAAGAACCAAGAGGAACAATTAATTTGTTTCATATACAACTGTTCATTTTTCTTTCAAGGTTTAATGGTAACTATAACAAAATTTTCTGATCTGATTGGCTATCGGCAGCCCTGATTTCATTACTCTATGCTGTGGTATCGTTTATTCTCAGCGATCTCGATTCTGTGGAAATCCTGCGATGTGACCATTCAAGCTGATGAAAGACATACTGTGCAAGGCAATGTCTCATCTGGGAGAGTACCCCTAAATGGAATCCGTAACCATGCAGGGTCCCCCTTCTTTTCTCTGGAACCCTTGCCCGACCGTTCTGACATAGTATTCTATTTTGTGCTCATGCATTGTTTCCTTCCCTGCATTAGGCTTACTTAGCAACTAAAACATGCATGGACGGCAATGAGGACGTCGAAGAGCGCACCCATGTTTAGAAAGCGGAAGAAAAACAATAGCGTAAATGATTGATTAAGCGCCGCTACTCGAATAAGCACCCCACCTTTGCCGCAAATAATTTAATAAACGTCCCTCTTGAATAAGCGCCGGGGTGCTAGTTTGGGTATTTACAAATTAACGCCCCACCTTTATTGCGGCGATTGATATAAAGTGATATCAAAACTATATCGCTTGAGAAATAAGACCTCGGCTAACTCGTGAGTTCTAAGATTTAAAGGAGGGAAACTCTTTAGCAGTTCGAGGTGTACATATTTTATAATAAATTGAGCATGTCTGGTACGCGTCTCACTTAATTCTGTCTGTGCTCCCCTCAGTGTTTTACCCGAAGTTGAAATAAGTGCCGCTCTCGTATAAGCGCCGCACCTATAACAGGGAAAATGAAATAAGCGCCGCGGCGCTAAATCGATTATTTACGGCAGTCGTGGTGCGCTTACGTCCTTCTTAAACGTCCTCTTATTAAAATTTCACATTGTAGTCGTATGCAAATAGCAAAGAAATGTGTCATGCTCCTGCAAAGTTGTTCCTTTTTTGGATATTACAGTGTATATTAACTGCTTTATTTGACCTTCTTCTAGCAGTCACAGTCATAAAAATAAGCCCACTAACCATCAGAAGAGAGGACTTCATCGCACTGAAAGTAGGGGCAAGAATGCGAAGTTTAGAAACGGTTACCGCGACATTCTTGGCTACGGCTTCAGCATCTTTCCACCCTTCTCAGGACATTTTGCTGGCGTCGCGCTCGCCCATACAAAGAGCGAAACTGCTGAATAATTAGATTTCACCTCTACTGCAGAATACATGAACTAAAAGGCTGTTAGGTTTATTGGCAGTTTCAGCCGAGCACCTGAAGAACCCATCCTTCGAAGACTACACGGCTCCATCGTCTCTACCACATGTTTACTAAACTGAGGGTCACATGCTAACTGAACGAGGTGTCGCCTTGGTATGCTTTCCCACTCGTTGCATTGCGAGCAGCATTTCAAAGTTTATTGTTATTATTATCTTTTTTAATATACAGCTTCTCATCATACGATGTTTTTTTATCGAACACTTCACTACCTAAAAAAATTAAATATTTACTTAAATACTATTGGTTACGATTAACCTTTAACCAACTACGAAATTATAACTGAAAATAGATAATAATCTCATTAATCTCATACTCAGATCTTTCCAAAATTACGCAAGTGAGTCATCGGTCGGATTGCCGCGAGACATGCGGGACTTGTACGCCTTCTTGCTCGCTAACTAAAGACGAGAGGTGATGACGTCATAAAAGCTAAATTTGTGAAATTATAGGATAGGTTGGCATATCAAGAATGAAAACGATGAAAAATGTCCACTTGCTAAAAATGAGCGTGTTGGAGCAAATTG